GATCTTTTTCATCTCCATCCCGCGGGCCGCTTCTCTTTCTTGCAGCCCTTCTCAGGGTCCCTGGGCCGGAGAGCTGTTTCTGGACGCCGAAACAGCTGTAAACGTCCAGCGTTATGTTTTGGAGTCGCCGGTAGTGGCGTGCGCCAGGGATCGGCCAAGACGTCATTTAGAGCAACCTCGTGGACAGTTTTCGTTTTGATTACCTTTTCGTGCCATTTTCGGCTGGGAGCCGATCGTGATTCAAGAGGTGCACTAGCCGGTTGCTTTGGGGAAAAGCCCAGATGCGCTCGCTGTGAAACGAAAGCGAGAGGAACACACAAAGCGTCGTGGTGGTCGAGCTCTGACCTATAATCACTAGTGTGGCGCGATGTTGTTGGAGTCTTTGAAGGCGTCGTCTCTAGATCACCCCCCAGTCGGTAAAACGTAAGAATCGAGTTCGCCGGAATGCGGGTTTGCCGACGTGTCTTGGCGAACCCGTCCTGGATTTTGACGGTTCAGTTTTCGTGGGATGATTTGAGCGGGAGTTCTCATCACATTTCAGAGGAGGGAGCAGGGAGGAGGAGGGAGGAGGGAGGAGGAGGAGGGATGAGGGATGAGGGAGGACGGAGGAGGGAGGAGAGAGGAGGAGGAGAAGGAGGGAGCAGGGAGGAGGTGGAGGAGGAGAAGGAGGAGGAGGAGGAGGGCGGAGGAGGGACGGTGGAGGGAGGAGCAGGAGGAGGAGGGAGGAGGCGGAGGAGTACTTCCCCCTCACCCCAGGTGAGCGACACGCCGAAGGGCAAGCTGCCGCTGCTCCAGAAGCGGCGGCAGACTGCCGTCGGCCCCCTCGGCCACAGGCGCAAGCCCCAGGCGCGGGGGGGGGGGGGAGAGGGCGGGGCCTGCCGCATTGCGCGGCCGTCTGCAGGGGCCTCTTCGCGCATGTTTTCCCCTCCCTGCCAGAGCCCGCCCTGCGCTCACCCCTCCCCCCAGAAGGGAGAGGGAGGGAGGAGGAGGAGGAGGAGGAGGAGGAGGAGGAGGAGGAGGGAGAGGAGGAGTCACGAGCGCGGACGAGGAGTGCCCGCGGCTCCTGCCCTTCCGGGGTGCTCCAGCAGAGGGCCTCCCTCCCTTCGCGAGGGATGGAGGTGGTGGCACCGCTTCCTCGGCGGATGCCCTGGCGTAAACCAGCGGCAGCACAACGAGGGCGGCTCCGCAGGGGAACGGGGGCGGAAGGCCGGCGGAAGCGGGCGGAAGTAGTACAGAACGGTTTCGACTAGACGAAAGAGTGACCTTTCGCCGGAGTGACCTTTGGTGCGGGCCAAATGGGGTCCCCCGATCGCCGAACGCGATGCGGTGGTAGCGTCTTGCGCGCTTGTGTTTGGCCCCCCCCCCCGCGGCCCCCCAAAAAGCCGCGCACCAAAGGTCACGCTTGCCTAGGGCCACTCTTGCGTGCAGCCGGCGGTTGTTTTGCACAGGATGTCCCCCCGTCCAGTTTGTGTGGCGCCGTGGGCATGTCCTCTCGCATCCCGCCGCCCAGCTGCCGCGCGACTCGTTCCCCCCTCCCCCTCCTCCTGCTCCGTCTGCCACCGTGCCCCCTCCTGCCCCTCCTCCTCCTCCTCCTCCTCCTCCTCCTCCTCCTCCTCCTCTCCCTCCTCCTCCTCCCTCCTCCTCCTCCTCCTCCTCCTCCTCCTCCTCCACCTCCTCCACCTCCTCCTCCTCCTCCTCCTCCTCCGCCGCCGCCGTTCCGCCGCCGCTTCCCCCTCCTCCTCTTCCTCCTCGTCCTGCTCCGTCTGCCTCCCAGCTCCATTCGAGGTATCCGAGAAGTCTGCTGCGCCGAGATATCTTTTGTTTTGTTGTTTGGGGGGCCCGCCGCAAGACATCCGAGTGATACTTGGAGGGTCCAGCGTGTGCAAAGGAAGTAGCCGTTGCTTCCCAGAGAGACGCCGTGCTGCTTTCGAGTTACGGCAGTCCCTGTTCATTCCTGTGCCAGCCCAGACCCCGTCGCGTCGCGGAGAGATACACTTAGGTATCGGTGACCCTTTTCGACGTCTGGGGGCCCTTCCCGCCTTCCAGGGCCAAGGGGCCGTTGAAAAGACCTCGGGTTTGAGAAACGGTCCCAGAGAAGAAGGCGAGACCTCCAGTGGTCAACGATACAAGCGGGGACGATGACTGACAGCGGTCCCTGGCCACGAACGTGAATTATCCATGTCCATGTATATGTGTATGCATACATATGTATAGAGAGAGACCTACATATACGCACATGTCCAAGTCTATGTATGTATGGGCGTATACAAACAATTGTATAGTTACCTATCTGTATAGATTACATATAGTTGTGGATACATATGTATAAGTCTATGCATATGCATACAAATGTAGATACAACGATATGCCTATATAGGTGTGTATGCATACACAGGTTGTTCGAAGTGTGTACGTTCACACATACATACATACATACATACATACATACATACATTCATACATACATACATACATACATACATACATAAATACATACATACATACATACACACACATACATACATACATACATACATACATACATACATACATACATACGCACATGCATACATACATACATACATACACACATACATACATACATACATGCATGCATACATGCATACATACATACATGCATGTATGTATATATATAGATATAGATAGATCGGTACATAGTCATATACGCCTCCCATAGTGGCTTCTGGCCCGATCCTGGGACCTGCACGGGCCTGGCTAGGACCGGTGAGGTTCACAGTTGACGATGACTGGCAGCAGCGCTTCTCGAGGGACAGTAACAACTGCGTACACACAATGGTTTGGAGGTCCGAGTGGACTTCCTAGGTCGGCGCTGGACCCTTCTAGCGACGCCTTTGGCGCCGCCCCTGGCGCAGTCCGCGCGCTAGGAAAGGGGTCGCGGGGAGGAGATCCAGTTTCGACCCAGGAAATCCGCGCGGGCCTCCGAACAGCTAGATGTATGCCAGGCTTCGTATTCCCGTTTTCAGTTTGAACCAGACCCGCAGTCAGTTTCAACCCAATCTTGCTCCATTCAGGAGCAAAGTTCGGGGGACGATAGGCTCATGCCAGGATGCATGGACCGCCAATCGCTCATGAATCATCGATAGGGGCCCGATAGCCTGCCCCGCCCAGGAATGTGTGGTTTCGCTATCGGGGGCCTATCGCCGATCAGTCGGCGATGTACCGCCGATTCCAGCCCGATGTTCCCTTTCCTGAGCCAGCCCCCCCCGAACGTCCCCCCTCACATCTAGTGGCGAGCGTTGGCAGTCCAGCAGCTGCTGCTGTCCACATCGGACAAAACTGTCGGTTCGGCATCACCCCGATGAGTGGTGGCTCCGATGTCGCGCGCCAGCAAGCAAAGGCCAAGTTCGTCCCCAAGGACTTCTCGAAGCCCTACACCAAGCCGAGGGCCGCCAAGTAGCGCGCGCGAGCCAGTGATCGTGCACGCCTTGCCGAAACGGCGGCGTGGCGCGTATCGTAGACGCCTGTCTTCTTACGCCTTCCGTTTACTCTTGGCAATAAATGACGGAACCTCTCTCTCGGTCTGTCTCCCCGTTCCCCAAATAGTGTCTGCGTTTAGGGTCTCTTACGTCTTTTCTGAAGAACTGTCCCCACAGGTCGCTCTGGCGGCTCCGTGCTCACCGTCGCCGCCCTGTCCACGCCGCGTTTCCGCCTGTCGTCGGGGCCTGGTTTTTGGCCCGGTGGCTTTAATGCTGGCCTTCGCCGCCCCGTCGCCGCTTCGTCGTCGCCAATCGTCTGGGCCTGATTGCGGGTCTGGCGGTCCCGTCGCCGCCTCGTCGCGGCTTTGCAGTGCGTTGCATTGCTTTGCGTAGCTCTGCACTGTGTTAGTTCGCATTGCTGTGCCGTGCGTTCCATTGCTTTGTGTTGTATTGCTTTGCGCAACATTGATGTTTCAACATCTGTTGCACCACCTATCTTCCACAACACGTGTTGCACCGCATAGATTGCGCAACCTATCTTGCAACCCTGTACTGCACCATATATACATATAGTATATATGCATATTGCACCACATAGATTTGCGCCATGTATACATTACACAGATCGCACTACATATGTTGCACAACGTAGATTGCACACGAGATGTTGCACAACGCAGGTTGCACATATATTGCACCACATAGATGGCTCCACATAGACTGCACAACCTGTATTGCACCTCGTATGTCGCATCACAATTAGATTGCGCAACATAGATTGCGCCACATACACACAGCACATATTTCTTCGAACATACTGTTTGGGGGTCGGCGCTGGCTATCATTTCTTTCAGGTGTCTGTAGATTGAAAAATTCCCCAAACAGTGCTTGCACATAGGGGTTCGTAGTTGCGTTCCTAAGGAAGTGGACGGGTCTGGCAAGGTTTCGCCTGGTTGCCGCCCTCGTGCGTTTGGTGGGTCTGGCGAGGTTTCGCCGCGCTGCCACCCGCCGCCGCCTCGTTGCTGTCTCGGTGACGCTTCGTACGCTGGATGGGTCCGGCGAGGTTTCACCACGCTGCCGGCCAGTGCCGCCTTGTTGCCGCCTCGTTGCCGCCTCATGCAGCGAGGTTTCGCCACGTTGCCACCCATTGCCGCATGTAGCTTACACCACGTACAGTGCGCCTCATGTCTTACACCACATAGCTTGTTCCCCATAGCTTACACATCCACAGTGCCATGACTTACTGTTGGGGATCCAAGCTGGCTAACAGATGTATAGTAGTCATGTATTCTATATATAGCCCTGCCGACAAGGCCAAGGGCTCCCAAGCGGCACCCTCGAAGCTCCAAGACTACCACAGAAAGCGCCCAAGTCGCTCCCCAGGGCCATCAAGAGGACGTCCGAGAGGGCCACAATAATCAACAATCATGTGGTTTCCTTTGGTGTCTGAAGGTTTTTGCATTTTTCGCTGTTTCGGATTGAAGACTCCTCAACACGGCCCCATGGTCCTCCCAGATCGCGTAGTGAAGACCTTAGGACCGCCCAGCACGTCCCAAGGAGAGCATCCAAGAGCGCCTCCGTAGCCACTCTGGCTCAAGCCATTGTGGCTTAAGCACAGAAGCGTGCATCAAGTTGAGATGTGCCAGTGTGGCCAGTCTTGCAGATCCGAGCTCTGCAGGATCTGCCCTGCTGTAGATGACAATGAGCCAAGGCTACCAGTCAGTGAACCATAATGGCAAGTACGCGCACAAAGCGCTTGCGGGGATCGTGGTGGCTCTGTCGCTTGCATACGTCGTGATGGTTGTGGTCGAAGGGGGGAGGGGTGTGTACAAGGAGTGTGTTTTGGCCGAGAGCCACAAGACGATCGCTCGTCATCTGAGCAAGGAGGACTTTGCGCAGTACTCTTTTGGCATCTCGATCATCAACCTCGCCGCGTTGTTACCGACAGCGCCTGTGGCCACCTGCCTGCTCGCATTCGCTGCAACGCCTTACCTGCGCCGAGTGTCCGAGTACGCCTTTGTCTTGTGGGCGAGCAAGTGGATGCATGTGGTCTCCATCCTGCTGCAGTGCTCCGGCTGGTCTTACTGGATTGTGGCGGTGCCTGGCTACCTCTTCTTGCTGTTGTACATCACCTCCTTCGTCATGTTCCTCGAGCTTCTACTGCGCCAAGTCAGAGCCCTGGAGGACAGCTCCTTCTTGGACCTTGGCTCGTCGCGCCTGCGTTCGGCTCTGAGGCGCTTGTCGGCAGTTTTCTTCTTCACCGCGCTGGTAGCCATGTCTTGGAATTCGGGCCTCTGGGGAGACCGGGGCGAGCATCCGATGAGAGTGGTCACTTCGATGCTCGCCTGGGCGTTGCTCGCTCAGATCCTCCACGTCTCGCTGCTTCCGATCCTGGCGATCCGACGAGTGCGGAGGCTGGCTTCAGCCGCGCTGGCGTCGGAGAGCGCCAGGGCGCTCGAGGAAGCCAGGCAGGCTCCGAGATTTCTCAGGCTCCAGCAGCTCGGTGTCGCCACCAGCCTGGCCACCTCCCTCGTCTGGCTCGCCCTGTGGATCTGGTCCTACGGGGCCCTCTGGCCGCTGCCCGACGCGAGCGAGGAGGCGTGGACGCCACTTCTCTTGCTCGCCGTGACGCAGCTGCCTGGGATGGTGGACACGGTCTTCAACTCGCTGGCGAGCCTTGCGATCAGCGGAGCGTTCTTCGGCGCCCTGAGCGGTGGGAGGGCGCTGCTCCAAGGCGAGGCAGAGCGCTTCGAGAAGTGGGCGAAGGCTGCGAAGGAGTGGTCTTCTCATCCGGATGCCGACTGGCAGGCAAAGGTTGTAGAGATGGCTGGCCGAGGGGTATCTCTACAAGCCCTGCTCGGTTTCTATCGCCGCCTGGGCAACGACCTGATGCCTGGCTTCGACCCCTCGCGCCACACCACGCATGACGTGGTGTTCCGAGCGATCATCCCTGAATCGAGCCATCATCGGAAGTCCATGGCGCAAGTCATGATGGAGGACAAGCGTGCAGAACCCGAGAAGATGGTTACCCATAATTGGCAGAATTTGTTCTCTGACTTGATTTCTGCAATCGTCGCAGACGCACTGGGCGAAAAGGAATACTGCAGGGTGTCTCACTTGCTTCTCAATGACATCGACATTATCGAGAGCTGGATCGATTATGCTGGCGTCGGTCAGCGCACCTACTGGGTATGTGCCTTTTCCGTCAACCAGCACACATCCACCTGCGAAAACACCTTAGGGTCGGAGGACTCCGTGACAGGCGAGAAGTATCCCGCTTGCCAATGTGGGCTGCCCAAGGCATTCAACAAGACCCCACCGCTGTCCATCGAGGGACAAAGCATCGAGTGCGAGATGAACAAGTTCGACCCCATGGTCAAGACCCTCTCGGCCAGGAGCAGGAACTTCTCGCAGCTTGTTGCGGTGGACAGGCGCTTCGAGGTGTTCAACCGAGCGTGGTGCGTCGCCGAGATTGCGGCATCGAACGCCATGGGAATGGACCAGAGGTTGCAGCTCCCATCGCGACGGATACTCCAGGAGAACCTGCAAATGCTCTCCCGTCTGGAGATCTGCGGCATGGGGGCCAGCAGGCCTGAGGACAAGGTGGAGATTCTGCGCCACATCTCGGACCACGAGGCCTTCGACAGGAGGCTGAAGGACATGCTGCTGGTCCAGCTGCTGCCCTCGTGGTCCACGCTGGACTCGTGGGACCACATGTTCTTGGCAGGCCGGGTCGTTCGCTGGCAGGTCGTTGCCTGCAGGCTGTCCAGCACGGTGTGAGATCCGGACCTCGAGCGCCAGAAGACTGTCGACGTGCCGGGCCGTCTGGATGATCCCGGCACGATGTGCCAGCCCTCGGTCCGGCGCGTGCCCAAAAATTTGTCGACCCCGATCGATATGTGAGGATCCCGGGGCCCCGTGCCGCGTGGTGTGGTAGCTGTCGATCGCCTCCTCAGGGGTGACGCCGCAGCGCCTTGCGCGCATGATGACGTGGTCCTCCTCAGGGGTGCCGCCGTCGTGCCTTGTGCCGAGTGCCATCTGGATATGAGCCATCTGGACCTGTGCGCTCGTGGTGGGTGCCTGCTCGAATCCGTTGCCGAGTGGCAGTGTGAATCGTTCTCGTGCTGGCTTCGCTCTCCAGCCCACAGGGGCAGGAGCTTGCCGTCAGTCGGGCATCAACTTGCATCGTCGCGCTAATTTGGCTGCTTCTGTGTCTTGATATCTAGACTAGGTGGACTTTCTCCCCGACCCCCAGGACTTCCCAATAGGTCTCAAAGAAGGCAAGGCCTCTTGAGACATGTTTTTCTAAATTGATATAAACGCCCTGCCCCCACTACTGATCCCATGGCTGCGACAATTCTTCGGCAGCGTGGCTCGCTGCCCCTCGCGCCTTCGTGTGTCAGGCGGACCAACTTCGGGCGCCTTAGCCTTTTTTTCGCGCGTCTTGCTCCAGGAGTCGGTCCCTCCCTTGCTTTCGATTGCTCGACAGCGGGGATTCTTCAGCTGGCCGCTCGGCAGAACCCGCCCGTGCAGGCGCGCGTCGTACTGCCTGGCTGGTTGGCAGGTCTGAGATCCGCCTGTGAGCAAGTCGGCTCTCCACCTTGCAGGAGCAGGCCGCCGCTGCTCACCTGTCTCTTTCCGGCGACTTGGATCCGTTACGTGATGCGAATCGGAGGAGGAGCAGGAGGAGGATAATTGAAAGTGGAGGAAGTGGGGGGGATTCGGTGGGGAGGGGGGAACTTCGCATTGTGCGCCGTTCCCGCTTGTGTTGCCCTTGGCTCCCGGCGCACAAGCACAGCTTCTCATTGGGAGCCGACTGCAGTCGCCCGCCGTGTAGCCAAGGCCCAGGATTTTCTTTGAGCCAGCGTTCATGCCCACGCACCGTTTCATGCAGGGCACATGCTCCCGGGGAGGGTCGAACCGCCCCCTGGTCGCTGGCCGCCCGAGCGCCTTCGGCGCGCGGTGGCTGCCCGCGACGGGGGTCGATGTGGGGCTGTCGGCGGGGGTGGGTGGGGGCCTGGACTGCAGATTCCACGGGTGGTCGCTGGCAGACGGGCCGTCCGAGAGCGCCTGCGCTGATTTTGGCATCAGCCCCTCGACAGGGTTCACCCCGGGGGGGCGCCATACGAGCATGTCGCCATGCGAGCATGTCGCTCGGAAGAGGGGCGCCATGCGAGCATACCGCATTGAGGCATTGAGGGGCGCCATGCGAGCATGTCGCTCGGAAGAGGGGGGGTAGGGGACGGAGTGGAGAGGTGAGCCGAATAGTAGTGGAGGGGGAGGAGAAAGAGGGCGGCGGTGGCTCTGGGTCGGCATCTTCTGCATTCTGCCCTTTGCCCCTTTATCAGCCTTCTCTGAGGACGACGCTCTCCACGAGTTGATCGGTTCGACCATGCCCGCACGTTTTGCTTTCGTTTGGTGGCGGCGGAACGTTCGACCGCGCCACGCTTGTGCCAGGAATGCGCATGAGCAAAGACACGGCACAGGCAGGAACGCAGCATGACCAAAGAAACAAAAAAAGGAGAGCCTCCAAGAGCGCCCCAAGACGGCTCCAGGGGGTCCCGATACGGCGCATAACGGCGCTAAGGCCGCTCAAGAAGCCCCCAAATTAGCTTAGCAACCCGCAAGAGGCCTCCCCAGAGGCTCCCAGGCATCAATGCTCGGAGGTCCGCGCGGATTCCTTGGATCGCCGCCTGCCCCTTTTGGCGGCGCCTCGGGCTCCGCCCCTGGCGCCATCAGCGCGCCATGGAGCGGGCTCCGGCGCCGATCTGCGCGGACCTCCGACAGCTTCTGCTCATGCCAGTGCTCCGTCCTCTCGGCCAGGACGTCGGGGATGCCGCCGGGAGAGCACAGGCTGAGCCTCGAACGCTTCGGCCCGCGGCTGCAGCTGTTTCTGCCAGGCGCACCGGGGCTCTGGTTGTGTCGAGGCCACGCTCAGGGTCTGGACGCCCGAAATGGGTACGGAAAGAACGGGCACAATGCCCAACAGCAGTTCCTGTGCATTTTGAGCAGGATTCGCTGTCTGCGCCGCCGCGGCCTCTTCGTCGCCCCGTCGCCGCTTCGTCGTCGCCAATCGTCCGGGCCTGATTGCGGGTCTGGCGGTCCCGTCGCCGCCTCGTCGCGGTTTTGCAGTGCGTTGCATTGCTTTGCGTAGCTCTGCACTGTCTTAGTTCGCATTGCTGTGCCGTGCGTTCCATTGCTTTGTGTTACATTCCTTTGCGCAACTTTGATGTTTCAACATCTGTTGCACCACCTATCTTCCACAACACGTGTTGCACCGCATAGATTGCGCAACCTGTCTTGCAACCCAGTACTGCACCATATATAAATATATACACATATGTTTGTATATTGCACCATATAGATTTGCGCCATGTATACACTACACAGATCGCATTACATATGTTGCACAACGTAGATTGCACACGAGATGTTGCACAACGCAGGTTGCACATATATTGCACCACATAGATGGCTCCACATAGACTGCACAACCTGTATTGCACCTCGTATGTCGCATCACAATTAGATTGCGCAACATAGATTGCGCCACATACGCACAGCACATATTTCTCCGAACATACTGTTTGGGGGTCGGCGCTGGCTATCATTTCTTTCAGGTGTCTGTAGATTGAAAAATTCCCCAAACAGTGCTTGCACTTAGGGGTTCGTAGTTGCGTTCCTAAGGAAGTGGACGGGTCTGGCAAGGTTTCGCCTGGTTGCCGCCCTCGTGCGTTTGGTGGGTCTGGCGAGGTTTCGCCGCGCTGCCACCCGCCGCCGCCTCGTTGCTGTCTCGGTGACGCTTCGTACGCTGGATGGGTCCGGCGAGGTTTCACCACGCTGCCGGCCAGTGCCGCCTTGTTGCCGCCTCGTTGCCGCCTCATGCGGCGAGGTTTCGCCACGTTGCCACCCATTGCCGCATGTAGCTTACACCACGTACAGTGCGCCTCATATCTTACACCACATAGCTTGTTCCATGTAGCTTACACATCCACAGTGCCATGACTTACTGTTGGGGATCCAAGCTGGCTAACAGATGTATAGTAGTCATGTATTATATATATAGCCCTGCCGACAAGGCCAAGGGCTCCCAAGCGGCACCCTCGAAGCTCCAAGACTACCACAGAAAGCGCCCAAGTCGCTCCCCAGGGCCATCAAGAGGACGTCCGAGAGGGCCACAATAATCAACAATCATGTGGTTTCCTTTGGTGTCTGAAGGTTTTTGCATTTTTCGCTGTTTCGGATTGAAGACTCCTCAACACGGCCCCATGGTCCTCCCAGATCGCGTAGTGAAGACCTTAGGACCGCCCAGCACGTCCCAAGGAGAGCATCCAAGAGCGCCTCCGTAGCCACTCTAGCTCAAGCCAATTTGGCTTAAGCACAGAAGCGTGCATCAGGTTGAGATGTGCCAGTGTGGCCAGTCTTACAGATCCGAGCTCTGCAGGATCTGCCCTGCTGTAGATGACAATGAGCCAAGGCTACCAGTCAGTGAGCCATAATGGCAAGTACGCGCACAAAGCGCTTGCGGGGATCGTGGTGGCTCTGTCGCTTGCATACGTCGTGATGGTTGTGGTCGAAGGGGGGAGGGGTGTGTACAAGGAGTGTGTTTCGGCCGAGAGCCACAAGACGATCGCTCGTCATCTGAGCAAGGAGGACTTTGCGCAGTACTCTTTTGGCATCTCGATCATCAACCTCGCCGCTTTGTTACCGGCAGCGCCTGTGGCCACCTGCCTGCTCGCATTCGCTGCAACGCCTTACCTGCGCCGAGTGTCCGAGTACGCCTTTGTCTTGTGGGCGAGCAAGTGGATGCATGTGGTCTCCATCCTGCTGCAGTGCTCCGGCTGGTCTTACTGGATTGTGGCGGTGCCTGGCTACCTCTTCTTGCTGTTGTACATCACCTCCTTCGTCATGTTCCTCGAGCTTCTACTGCGCCAAGTCAGAGCCCTGGAGGACAGCTCCTTCTTGGACCTTGGCTCGTCGCGCCTGCGTTCGGCTCTGAGGCGCTTGTCGGCAGTTTTCTTCTTCCTCGCGCTGGTAGCCATGTCTTGGAATTCGGGCCTCTGGGGAGACCGGGGCGAGCATCCGATGAGAGTGGTCACTTCGATGCTCGCCTGGGCGTGCCTCGCTCAGATCCTCCACGTCTCGCTGCTTCCGATCCTGGCGATCCGACGAGTGCGGAGGCTGGCTTCAGCCGCGCTGGCGTCGGAGAGCGCCAGGGCGCTCGAGGAAGCCAGGCAGGCTCCGAGATTTCTCAGGCTCCAGCAGCTCGGTGTCGCCACCAGCCTGGCCACCTCCCTCGTCTGGCTCGCCCTTTATATCTGGTCCTACGGGGCCCTCTGGCCGCTGCCCGACGCGAGCGAGGAGGCGTGGACGCCACTGCTCTTGCTCGCCGGCTGCCTGGGATGGTGGACACGGTTTTCAACTCGCTGGCGAGCCTTGCGATCAGCGGAGCGTTCTTCGGCGCCCTGAGCGGTGGGAGGGCGCTGCTCAAAGGCGAGGCAGAGCGCTTCGAGAAGTGGACGAAGGCTGCGAAGGAGTGGTCTTCTCATCCGGATGCCGACTGGCAGGCAAAGGTTGTAGAGATGGCTGGCCGAGGGGTATCTCTACAAGCCCTGCTCGGTTTCTATCGCCGCCTGGGCAACGACCTGATGCCTGGCTTCGACCCCTCGCGCCACACCACGCATGACGTGGTGTTCCGAGCGATCATCCCTGAATCGAGCCATCATCGGAAGTCCATGGCGCAGGTCATGATGGAGGACAAGCGTGCAGAACCCGAGAAGATGGTTACCCATAATTGGCAGAATTTGTTCTCTGACTTGATTTCTGCAATCGTCGCAGACGCATTGGGCGAAAAGGAATACTGCAGGGTGTCTCACTTGCTTCTCAATGACATCGACATTATCGAGAGCTGGATCGATTATGCTGGCGTCGGTCAGCGCACCTACTGGGTATGTGCCTTTTCCGTCAACCAGCACACATCCACCTGCGAAAACACCTTAGGGTCGGAGGACTCCGTGACAGGCGAGAAGTATCCCGCTTGCCAATGTGGGCTGCCCAAGGCATTCAACAAGACCCCACCGCTGTCCAGCGAGGGACAAAGCATCGAGTGCGAGATGAACAAGTTCGACCCCATGGTCAAGACCCTCTCGGCCAGGAGCAGGAACTTCTCGCAGCTTGTTGCGGTGGACAGGCGCTTCGAGGTGTTCAACCGAGCGTGGTGCGTCGCCGAGATTGCGGCATCGAACGCCATGGGAATGGACCAGAGGTTGCAGCTCCCATCGCGACGGATACTCCAGGAGAACCTGCACATGCTCTCCCGTCTGGAGATCTGCGGCATGGGGGCCAGCAGGCCCGAGGACAAGGTGGAGATTCTGCGCCACATCTCGGACCACGAGGCCTTCGACAGGAGGCTGAAGGACATGCTGCTGGTCCAGCTGCTGCCCTCGTGGTCCACGCTGGACTCGTGGGACCAGATGTTCTTGGCAGGCCGGGTCGTTCGCTGGCAGGTCGTTGCCTGCAGGCTGTCCAGCACGGTGTGAGATCCGGACCTCGAGCGCCAGAAGACTGTCGACGTGCCGGGCCGTCTGGATGATCCCGGCACGATGTGCCAGCCCTCGGTCCGGCGCGTGCCCAAAAATTTGTCGACCCCGATCGATATGTGAGGATCCCGGGGCCCCGTGCC